AATCGGCGGTTGTAGGATTAAGCTTTTAAAGAGTTCATACACCGCTAGTTGGCAGTGTTGTGCATATATTGTACTTGAATTGTTGCCAGCTAGTAAGTGTCAAATTGAACTTGTGCTTTAAATTGGTTCCGCTAGTTTTTCTATGTCATAAGCGCTTTTGAAGTTGCGGACCTAAATATTTTCAAAAGCGCTTTAGGAATTGCGGAGCTAATTTTTGGATTAGTGCTGCCCACCACTGCTCATCTCGTTAATAACCGACACGTCCAAAACTGGACGCAGACTGTACCTGATCAAACGTCAGTATGTGACGAGTCGGGAGTGAGAATGGATTATTTTATCTAGATAAGGAATACATTTTATTTAAAAATGTCCACTTTTTAGTGACACTTGTTTCATTTATTGTCAGAATACATTCAGATCATCATGACATTGGAGGAGTCTGTTCAGCATGTGGTCATGACAGCAATCCAGGAGGTTGGTTTATCARGATCCATTCTCACATGGCCTTTTTATCACAATGGCCAGCAGGAGGGTCAAAAGTATTAAACATATTTTTGAAAGTTTTGCTGAGTATTGGAGAGTTTAGAGATGTAGCAGCAGCAAACTGAATGAAGACAGATTGCTTTCTTYATTAGCTCTTTTCTTTTTAAAAGTTATTAAGTGTGTGCAAATAATCCTCACATTTTCCTGTTCAGCTGATGAGCAAAGATACTACGACCCCGTTAGGAGCAGAGCTGTCAGGGAACCTGGAACAGCAGGTAAAGCTATTTCACCTCTCCTAATTGGACTGTGTGATAATTGTACTTTCTGATGTGCGTTCTTTTTATTTTACCAATCTGAGCTTTAAAATATGGTTTTAATTGTGGTTTTTAAAGTGTGAATTCTTTGACGATTATACATAGGTTATATCTTTAGTCAGGAGAAATCTGTAGCATAAAATTTATATTAGACTGAAGAATTTAGAAAAAACCGTATTAGTAGAGATGTATTAATCAATTTTTTAGGCTGATTCCAATTTCCAAAAAGCTTTAATTTGACAAGTCTGAATTTTCCCTAAGAATTATAAATACTTTACAATTTGTCTCATTTTTGGAAGAGGTGTCATGGTGGCACACTTGGTAGAGATGTCACCTCTTAGTGAGAAGGTTGCATGATTGCATCCCACTCTCGKACCTATCTGGGTTTCTGCATGTTCTCCCCATTGATCTATATTACAGGATTGGACGTTGCCTACAGCCGCTATAGCTAGCGACGCGCCATCACAGGAGCCATTGCTATGCATTGAGTCATGTCAACAAAACAGTAGAGTTTCAATGCAGGATGCGCGTCAGTCTGTCACAAAAATATTCATAGCACCCTCATTTCTTATCTGATTTGTATAAAATATGTCTTAAATTAAAGCTGAGAAAATTGCTGATGTTGTGATGTGTAATAAATATGTATTTGCTC